AAAGGAGTACTGCAATCTAGAGAAAAAATAAAATTACATGAGATAGGCTATTTGATACTTAACTCAGAACTTGCATTTGAGTTAGAACAAGCAGAAAATCTTTGTATGTATAAAACAGTCTTTGTACTTAACTGCTTATGTTGTAACTATGAGAATAAGATATACGTACAAAATGATGTTAGTCATTGTTTTTAAATTTCCAATAAATTGCATGTTTCTCAGACTGATGGGATTGTTTAAGCTATGTGACCTACATGCTTTCATATTACCTTGACCTGCTATGCTTCAGATGCAATAAGCTGATAAAAGCTTTTATTTGAGTGCAATGCAACCATGAATGGAGGATGAGGGCACCATTTTCCTGGATTTAAAGAAGATACTTTTCTAGCATAATTACCTCAACAAGCCTGCTGGTGTGCTCACGAAATATCGCAGCATATTCTTTTATTTCCTTTTCCCGACCATTCTTGGCAGCTTCAATGAGAACCAAAAGTGGGACTGTGGTATCCAGAAAGGAGTCTGACACATGATCGATAATAGCCTTGCGGAGCTGAAGAAAAAAATGAAAAGTGAATTTTTTTAATTTCTTTTTCAAGTAAATATAGTAAAAAGTGCATGCCATTTCCTATTTCACAATCTTAATATGTATTAAAATTATTTTATAAATATTTTTGCACAATATCTAAAACTGTAACATCTACAACTGTGTGTGAATACCACCAAGAAAGCTAAAAGACACCAATCTAAGAAAAAAAAATCATTAAACACTATTTATTTTACTCTCAAAAGTTATTCTTTTTCTTGAACTTACTTTAAACCCAAAGGTCCAATTATAAATAATATTCCATTTCTCCTCAAAGAAACTTCACTATTGAAATGTTTATGCATGTATATAAACAGCATTGTACACCATGTATTTTCATAATTACAAAATTAAGAAATGTTTTCTTCTTCATTGGGGGAACTGATGATAAATTCTGATTAGCTAAATTGTAAACTTCATGGTAATTAAACCAAGTTAGATAACTGATTATGCCTGTTGATAACAGATTAATATAACAAGGAGAATAATAAATGAGCTTGATGTCCAATTTTCTCCATTTGCATTAATTGTTCTTGCCCTCACACCTTAAATTATTAAACAAGTATAACATTCTGCTACAATTATTTTTTAATTAGATTATGTGTAAGTTTATAAATGACAATCAAGTAATTATTCAGCATAGTTTCTGAAATCTAAAAAGGAATTTTTAAAATAATACAGTTTTTATATAATATTAAGCCTTTAAACATCAGAATATCTTGTAATGTTTCATCAACATGGTCAATGACTGCAAATAGTCCCAAAGATTCTGGTCATTTAATTTAACCTCTTCATTTAATTTAATAAACTCTAGAAAACAAAACAGAGATGAAGCAACTTTTGGTGTAAAAAGTATATTTCATGGTGATTTTTTAAATCAATACACACTAAAGTTAGTAATACATTTTCAAGGAGTTAAGTGGCATAATTATATGAGAAAATTATAATGACTATAGCTATCCTGGAGACCAGCAACTCTGCCTAACATAGTAGAACATATTCAGAAAAACTGTGCAATTTGTAGGCTATCAACAACTTTGCAAAGATTATAGGAAGAGCCTCAAGGAAAGATATCGATTACTGTGCAGATAGGCAACACACTAACAGCAACTATTTAATATTACTGAACACTTAAAAGGACAGGGTATAGTCAGATGAAGTAAGTCAAGGGGAAAATCCTAAGTGAAGGAATAATGTGTTTAGTGCCAATGAAGAATGAACTAGGAAAGCAAAACAAGAAATCATAAAATAGGATCAGAATAGGAAACTGCAAATTATGTGTCTTTCAGATTCACAAAGAAAAAATAAAGGAATCACTCAGAAGGGAACAGTTTTTAGTAAATACTCCCCTTTAATCCTGTTCTTTTCTCATTTGCAAGAAGACTAGAAGAAAGAAGGGGAAAAAATATGCACTAGAGATAGGCAATTGCAATTCCACCTGCACTGGAAGGTGATCCAAGATGAGTAGAAACATAAAAAGGGAATGTACCCTCCCTGGTGGCGCAGTGGGTTAAAGCACAGCACTAAGAAGCTAAAACCACTTCAGCGTGAGTTCGATCCCTGCCCCAGAGGTGACCCACATGGCACAGCAGACCTCTCCTGACCTGCCTGCTGCTCCCCTCAGCAGTGTACTTCATTAATCAACCTGTTCTGCTCCCCACTCTGTCTCTGGTGAATCCTCTCACTGACTCAGTACCTCTGGCTTGTACCCCAACTCTGTGTGCATAAATAAGTAAATCTTTTTAAAAAATGGGAATGTACAATGAAGCTACATCTAAGAATGAAACCTAAGGAAAGGTTACTATTTATGGGAGTTATGCAGTGGAAGACTTGAAAAAAGATCGAGATGAAGCCCGAAGAATCAGAGTAACAATGACCATGAACTAAAAGACAAACTCAAATAAATCTATCAGTGCTCTCTGAATGAACCTATCCTACTGACACATATCCACACCACTGAATCTTTTTGTCTGTATATTTGATTTCATCCACCTTAGCAAATATTTCAGAATAACATATTCTTACTTTTCTACCCAAAGCAAGGTATTGTGAGAATTGTCATGATGAAAAAGGATGGCACCTTATAATCAAGTGGAGGAGTGACTGTCATTACAGGAAAACCAGAAAACTGGCAGCTAAGGAATTTCAAGAAGATAATAGGTTCATAATCTAATTTTAAAGATAAACTAGATTAAAGAAACAAAACTTTTATGTTGGATTTTACTACTAAGATATAATTGATTAAATTAATGAGAACAGATTCACTGGAAAAATGGGAGCAGGAGACCTATCGCTATGGTTTCAAAACTAAATAGGAAATAAGGAGGTAGCAACAATGAGAATAAATACCTTTTTCTAGTAATTTGTGTGCAAATTAATATGCATAAACCCTACGTAAATGGTGTGAGAGAATTAACAGTTTCTATACATGTGCAATCAACAAATTACATGATCCAATATGCTTGGCATGTCCAACAGGAAGTGATGCTGCTTTTGTGCCCTACTGGGATAAAGGATGGAGGGGATCCTCTTTGAAAAGTTCTAGCTTTCACAAATGAACATTAGAGGTGCTGCTTTTTTTCCCGATTTTGTGGAAAGTCCTTCATTTATATGTCTTCCCCGTGAGACTTCACTTTACAGATTTCCTTTTGGTTGTTGTTTTTGAGCAAACCTATTTTGTTGGTGAAAAAACTGCTTTTTGTTTAGTGTCAATATATTCTATTGAGTACATTGGGATGCAGGTTTAAAGAGAGATTCATTCTCACATACAATATTTTGATATATGTTTCCTTCCTACAACTGTACTCAGAAAGTCATATTATCCTCTTGTGCTTTTCAAAAAACACATTTTGATTTTTCATCATACTAAAATCTAGCAAGATAGAACCTCCCTGGTAGTGCAGGGGTTAAAGTCTTAGCACCATGAAGCTATCACCAGCCACTTCAGCATGGGTCCAACACCCGGGTAGAGAGCTGACCTCCATTGCACACTAGACCTCTCCTGTCTCGCAAGAATGCCTCACTGCAATGGATTTCAGTAGGTCCACCTGTTGCTCCCCACTCTGTCTCTGGTAAATCCTCTCATCCTCATACTTCTGGTTCAAACCCCAGTTCTTGTATGCCATACATAAATAAAATAAATCATTTAAAAATCTAGAAAGACAGGGCCCTCCCTGGTGGCACAGCGGGTTAAATCTCAGCACTGAGAAGCTAAAGCCACTTCAGCATGAATTTAATCCCTGCACCAGAGGTGACCCACATGGCTTGGCAGGCCTCTCCTGACCTGCCTGCTGCTCCCCTCAGCAGTGTACTTCATTAATCAACCTGTTCTGCTCCTCACTCTGTCTCTGATGAATACTCACCACCCTTGTACCTGGCCTGTACCCTTGTTCTGTATGGATAAATAAATAAATCTTTAAAAAAAAAATCTAGGAAGACAGACAATGGCTATTATCTCACATTCTTTTTTTTTCTTTTTGTAAATATTTGAGCAATTATAGCAATCTTCCTAAGCATTGGACAAAATCTCAATGATCTGCACATGTTTTCTCTGTGGTGTTTCCATTTGTCTTCCCTTCATTTCAAAAGATTTTATTACCCTGAGTTGTTTTTTTTTTTAATTTCTCAATATTTTCAACTATACTTTCCTTCATCCCACATAGAAGTATTGAACCTAATAGAATTATGAGGTTTAATGTCCTGATGATTTACAATTAATTAAAGAATAAATAAGTAAACTCTTCAGCTAAATTATTTTTAATAGAATCAAATTAGACACTTTTTCTTTCTAAAACAGGTTGTCGATTATATAACAGTAAATGAGGAAAGGTGTATCATGGAGGTGTGATATTATGTTTGGTATTATAAAACAGAAGAACTGGAAAATGAGCTTTCAATTCTGTGTCAATGTTTTCAAAATTTTGTTGGAAAATGGCTAAAATTAGCTGACATAATGTAAAATATAATGAGGAAGACAAATCTTCTTTGTAATAGCTATATATTCATTGAGTTTAACAAATACCTTCGAGATTTCTATTTAAAAGTAAGGCACCTGGGCAATATCAGAATACAAGAACATGGTTAGGGTACTCCCTGGTGGCGTAGCAAGTTAAAGCGCAGCACTGTGAAGCTGGTGAGTCCGCTTTGGTACTAGTTCGATCCCTGACTTAGAGGTGTAGCAGACCTCTCCTGTCTCACCCACTGATCTCCTCAGCAGTATATTTCATCAGTCTGCCTGTTCTGCTCCCCACTCTGAGTCTGGTGAATTTTCTCACCACTCCTGCACCACTGGCCTGTACCCCAGTACCATATGCATAAATAAATAAACCTTTAAAAAAAAAACATGATTAGGTCTGCGAGAGTGAAAGATGCACAGGAAATTTCATAAAATATTAAAAGAAATGAGAATAAATAAAAAAACAATCCATGGCTAACAAGTTTTCTGGTAAAGATGACACAAATTATTTTACTTTAAAAACTGAAAAGGACAGTGAGTGTTGAAGCTGTGAAGTTGTGAAGTGGAAAGTACTCATTTCTTGGAATGGAGAATATCACAAGCAAGAAAATAGAAAGATTCTGAGAATATCACTAGTGTCTATTGTGACTAGAACACAGTAGTAGAATGAGGATTGAAATAAGATATTATTAGGTACAATGCATTAATTTTAAAAACTAAAAGTAAATAAGACAATATGAGTAAAAGATGGTAGGTGGAAGGAAATGAGCAGAGATTGGTGACTTGTCTTAGACATGATAACTTCAAGAAAGAGCAAGCAATCAACATGGTGATATCTTTCCCTTTGAAATTCTCTCCCCCTCCTTTTCTTTTTCTTTTTCTTTTTTTATTATTTACAATGAGGTAAATTTGGTGTATAGCATCATACATGATTTGGTTCTTCTTCAGAGGTATGTTGCTACACCACACCCACCAACGTATCGCTGGTCCTTCACCATAGTCTTTCGGGTCC